AAAACACCATTAAGAAGGTAAAAGATTGAAAAATGCTGAGAAACAAATTGTTAGCCACAACCGTAAAGAGGCTAAATCCTAACCTAAAGCGAATAGCAGCAAAATTCGAGCTTCAACCCTTTGCAGGARGGTTAAAACAACAAATCAGCTGAATCAGATTCACACATTGTTTTGTCTTTGAAAAAAATAAATAAAATTTTAATTAAATGACGATTTCAGCTTAGAAGATATTCAGGAAGTTGTTTAAATTTTCAACAAACTGAATTTTTATGTTTACTAATAATTTATCAGGATGCAGATATAATCTTTGTATTTCAAAGTGAAATACTTTAATCTTTAATATTTTGAAACAATACAGAGAAAAGTTGCACAGCTTTGAAGAAATTGTTCTCTTATTTAAGAGTTTCGTCATTTCATTTTATTATATCTATTTTAGGCTGTAGATTTTACTGCTCTGAYGTTTATTTTTATTTAAAAGTTACAGAATCTTCTGCTAAAGGTTGTTTACAACAACATCTGCTTGTGACTGAAGAAACCACGGGGGTTTCCGGACAGGAAACGATGCTGTCGGCTACATTTAAATAAATAAAACATGTGAAAGTCACTTTAGGGGCATCATCATCGTCCTCCTCATTGTCACAGAAGCAAAACCTCAGTTCTTTCTGTTCCTGGTTAAACTGCTCTGAAAGCCACTGAAACTACCTTCTGTGTAAAAATGGAAGTGAAAACAATGCCGTTCATTTACATTTTTTTTTCCTGCGGGGATTTTTCCCCCCTCCCCTTCGACTCGTCTCTCAGCCTTTTCACTAAAGTTGTCGGTCCCTGACGAGGCGAGCAGATTAAGGGGATACGTTACCGTCTCCCTGTTTTCTTTCTAAACGGATGCACATGTGGCACATCTGGGTCCAAGCCTGACTCATTACCCTTTTTTTTTTTCTTTTTTTTTAATGCTCCTTTCTCTGCAGCCATGGCAACTGCTGCATGTTTGGCAGAAAGCTTTTGAAGGCAGTGGAAAAAAAAAAGTGAGGGGGGAGATAGAGGGAGTCCGGGGAGGGAGCTCTCAGTAGTTGGCCTACATCCAGTGTAATCATGCCATGGAGCTGAAATGAGGCCTTTGGCAGCACACCAGGTTTCAGAGAACAAAGATGTGAGCTTCTAATGTTGGTGGTGGGGCCTGCTTGGCATCCTTTACCATTTCCCAGCAGCCCCTGTGCCTTGGCGGGCAGCCAGACCCCCCCACCCCCGCGCTGGGACTGCAAAGAGGATCAGAATAAAGAGGGAGACTTGTTTTTCACTCGCCTCTCGCTCTGGCCAATGACATCACCTCTGCAGCCTCCAGCCCCCGAATTCCAGCCGCCGAGCACATTTCTCCTCCTCCTTGTTGTCGACCCTCCATTTTATTCAAATGCCACCATTTCATAACGTTTTTAAATCAAAGTCCACTCCTTAAACTGCAACCTTAAATGCTAACCTATGAAATTTGGTTTGTCCTGTAGCTTTGAAATAAAAACAAACCCTGAAATAAAAAAGGAATAATCTGCGGCGTTCAACAAGAAGTAAAACTGTGAGAAAAACAAAAATGGAGATAAAACCCATCCCTCTTTCAACATAACTGGTCTCAGAAAGTTTAATTTCGCGTCTGACTTCGTATCTTTTGTGGTTTTTACACAATTGAAGTTTAAGTTTTCGGGTTTTTGATATTTTTTATGGAACATTCAACAGGATGTTGACATCACAGACGCTTAAAGTGTCAAAAAATTCCCAGGCGTTTTGCAAACGAAATTTATTTAACAATCCGTAAACAACGAAGGCCGTTTTGTTTACTTTCACTCTGCTGTGGGACTTAATTTTCTCTCTTACTAAGATCAGTTGTGTTTTAGCTCAAGCTATTCCCTTCAAAACAGGAAGTAAAGCATTTAATTTACCTGGTCATATCTTCCACATAAAACGCTGCGCAAATACAAAACTAAGCACATGTAACAATCAGAGTCTTCTGCCGCTTGTGCTTCAAGACATTTTAAGATTTGAGTTGTAGTTTTCGCACAGCGACCATTTATTTGAGGCTTATTTTTTAGTCTGCTCCCTAATTGGCAGACGCAGAGCACGGTGGCAGGAGCTTTCTCTGTTAAAATAAAATAAAATAAAATAGTTTGCTGACAAATAGAAAGCAGCTGAAGAAGCAGAAGACAGAGAGTCGTGTTTCAGAACTCCCCTAATTTAACTCGGCGCTCTAATCCTTCTAAAAATAGGAGCGTAAATAGAATATATATGTTAGTCCGGGGGTAACAGGATGGTCTCCATGTTTACCACGACCTCACAGGAGCTGTGTTTTCCAGCTGAAAAACAATAATCTCAAAGATAAGTCACCAACCCTGTCCTGTTATAACCTCATTTTTGAGTCGGGGCAGAAATATTACAGCTCGCCTCAGCAGTTCCAGAAAAAAAAAGAAAAAACAAGAACGGTTATATAACAAACGTTTGTGGGGAAAAAAAAAACAGAGCAGACACAGAGTGGAAAAAAGTTAAAGATCCAGAGCTCGGCTGAAGCCGCAGGGAAATGATTTGTGAATAAAACGTGCACGGTATAAAACTTAGGCTCAGAAAGCCATAAAACACACACGGCGTCATCTCGTTTGCGACACTGTCACATGTTGCTGGGTATTCCCCTGGCCGTCACCTAAAACTCAGGCTATATTTAGCTGCTTCATGTCTCAATCTACCCTTTAAAAAGAAGAAGATGACATGAAATATGCAGCTACTCCATCTGGTTTAGTGCTGCGACTCGAATCGGATGGCCACCAGCCGGGTCATGCTGTGCTGTAATTTTATTTATTTTTTTACTGTATACATGCTCATATTTGCCAATCAGAGCCATCTGTGCATGTCTGGCTTCCTCTCCTTTTTTTTTAGCTGCTGCTGCCTCTGCTCAAAACAACTCGCTTTGCAGCCGCTGCAGCAGTTTTTTAATCCCCTGCAAGATTGTCTGTGTGTACCGTTAGCAAAATATCTCATTAATCACCATTTTGTTAATATTTTTAAGGGACTAGTTAAAGTTAAATGTTATATAATAAACATTTACTTCAAATATAAAAACGAAATGGTTAAAAATACTGTAAGATTTTTAGTTTTTAAAAGCATTCTGGGTAAATGATGACGAGGTGCTCTGATGCGAGCTCTATCCAGGTTGAACATTAATTTTAGACAGTTTTGACGTTCAGCCCTTTTAAATGAAACCAGAGAATGTAGAAATGACTCAGACTGCAACTGAAACTGATGATGGAGGACAACAGAGCTGCTTCATGAAAGAAGAGCCTCAGCTTTAGCCTGTTAGCTTTCCTGTTAGCCCCAAAGCTAAWAWATATRACAATATAGTTTAAGCACTTGAAAATAATAMTTTATCGAGAGCTAACACCACATACATTAGTAAAGTACAGAATATTTAAATATGGCATTAGCTTCTGTTAGCTCCTGGGCTAATATTATTAGCTTGGAAGCTAACACCATAAATAAATATATTTTACTAATATGTTTGTGGCGTTAGCTCTCAAGTCAATAATATCAGCTCTGCAGCAAACAGAAGTTAATGCCACATATTTTAGTAGTATCAGTGATATTAGCTCCCACGCTAATAAAGTTATCTTGAAAGCTAGCATAATCAATAAATGTATTTTACCAGTATGTTTGTGGTGTTAGCTCTTAAGTCAATAATATCAGCTCCAGAGCATATTTTAGTAATATAAGTGATATTAGCTCCCAGGCTAGTAAAGTTAGCTTGAAAGCTAGTACCATCAATAAGTGTATTTTACTACCATATTTGCGGTGTTAGCTCTTCAGCTAATAATATTAGCTCTGAAGCAAATGCCATAACACCATATACAGTATTTAGTAATATATGTGAGGTTAGCTCTCAAGCTAACAGTGTTAGCTCAAGAGCTATTGTCACATTTATATTAGTAATATATATGGCATCACCTCCCAACCTAATAATATTAGCTTTGAAGCAAACGCCATAACACCATATATTTTAGTAATATATGTGAGGTTAGCTCTCAAGCTAACAGTGTTAGCTCAAGAGCTATTGTCACATTTATATTAGTAATATATATGGCATCACCTCCCAACCTAATAATATTAGCCTGCGAGCTAATGTAAGCTAGTGCCACATTTATTTGTAATATATATATATAT